GCCAAGTTCAAGCTAACAGAACTGGCGAGCAGCACCTTGTGTAATATTACACGAACAATTTAGAGCCACTATTGACCTCCTCATAACTCAAAAACTATTTCACATAAACATGTAAAAATTGGCTTATGTATATTGAGACTTGCGTGATACATATGGTCACTACATTTCATAAACACTGACCGCAAACGGTTATTTAGATATTAATGTCCAACAATCGACATTTTCATCACTGATTGATCTAAACTCTAACCCAGTTCCAGATGACTTAGAAAGCTTGCCATCCAGATAGGTAGTTGGGTGAGTACGAAGTAATAAATCAGGAATTAGTATTTTATTATAATTTTATCGTAATTTTTTAATTAATTGATATTATTAGTAACACTTACTTATAGTGCCTGTAATGTAAGAATCACCAATCAAAATTTATGACAGCCGGTCTTTACGTGGATTATAAGGTCTTCACGTGAATATATAACGAGTGGAATACCACCCACAATTTATTTAAATTACAACAAACAAAACAAAAATGACAATTATACCCCGTACGCGTAGATTAATACAGTTTATAATCAAAACATATTTGTTATTAATTTCATTATAAATTACCTACGAACTAAATTCTGTTCAAAAAGTAATGATATCCCATCAAAAAAATAATTTGAAATGAGAGCAAAGTTCAATATTATGATAATATGTCTTGGTTGATCACTTTTACGATAAAAGATTTTATTCAATAGTCTCTCCCGAAACAGCAAAATATTTTATAACAACTTAAATATCATTTCTTTTTATAATTTTGTATAATATATTGAAGCCTTGGTCTTGAATAGTTTTCATATACGAATTATTTCCCCAAAGTAAAATGCCGTACGACATCACACTTTGAAAATAACAAAAACAAAATAATTAAAATAAAGTAACCGAACGGTATCTACAGTTAATTATCGTATCTTCATTACAGCTTAGGCTGCAGACCTATGTCTCTTCGACAATTTCTCAATATGTGAGCCCCATTGAAGCTTCGAATCTAGTGCATTGCCTAAGAATACTGTAGTGTCCAGAAGGTCCATATTCTTATCTTATCTTTGATAGTTACATTGGTTTGTGTCTGCTTTACATATGAAATATAAGTTATAATAAATGCTTTACATAGAAACATTGGGAAATGAAAAATTTAAACATTTAGTTTTACCTTCATTTAGAAGTAAATTATCACCGATAAACCAGTGGACTACTTTAGAGATGGCATTGTTCACATCGTCAATAAGTGGTTGCTTTCGTTTATTTTTAAATAAAAGTGAAGTATGATCTACAATACTAGCTCGTAATTATCCCTTTCAAAGTAAGGTAGGTCATTTATATAAATTAAAAACAAGAGATGACTAAGCATCGAGCCCTGAGCCCTAACAACCATCTTTACTAACGATCCGGGAGATCTTTTACCATTGATGTCAACTCTCTGGATCCTATCGCTCAAATATGACACAATGAGATTCAGAGTGCTTTAATTGATAGATTGATGAGCTAGATTGTGTTTGTACTTTATGTAACTTAATTTCTTACTTAGTCCATTATCAAAACGTTCCAAATGACTTAAAGTTTTTGGTACAACATTTATAACTTTCTTTACCACTTGTTTTCATTGATCAAAATCTTGTTGACTGATAATCTGTTTTGAAAGTAGTACAAGATCTGTATAGAAATTGTCAATACAAATGGCTGAAGTAGCAGTTATTCTAGTTGGCTCCACAAACAAATTCTTCAGATTGTCTATGATTGAAATCAGCATTTAATTTAAAATTCGTACACAAGTTAGAATATTCTAATTAATTAATATAAAAGTCACCACAGAAAATCAACCGTTTGCCTGTAGTGTGGACTTTCTTTAATGCTAAGTTATAGTAGGTAGGTAGGTTTATTACATCGGCATTTTTTTTTCGTTCATATTTAGCTTGCCGCTTTACATTCTTAATTATTATAAACAAGGATCAATGGTTCAGAGGTAGAAAGCTCGCCTGTCACGCGTGATGCCCGGGGAACTATTGGTCTTTCGAACTATTGGAATCGAGCCAACAATTCCAAAGACCAATAGTTAAATAATGATCATTTAAAACCCTCAAAGATTTGCAACGAAGTTCCTTAGTCAAATTTAAAAGCTAGTGATGTTTATGCCTCACTATATCACCATTTTGAATTTAAACAATAATAAGATGAACATGGAATGATTTGTTAAACAGAATTGAACCAGAATTAGAATGTCTGTGCAATATATGGTCATAAGTTATTAAAGAGGAACGGGCAAAATGTACCCAAGGACAAAAAACGACCAGACGTACGTCATAGGAAAGCACTTTTCAAGACCATTTATTTATTACTATGGGAGCTAGTCTCAATTCGCTATGGGAAAATAGTTATAGCTAACTGGAATCTTTAAAAGTATTTTATTTCTGTGTCTCTTTTGACCACAATGTTTTTCCATGGCGAATTGAGACTTGCTAGTCATCATAGTCATGAGAAGTGCTAAAGTGCTATCTTATGACTTACAGCTGATCATTATTGGTCGGTGGGTACATGTCCCATCTCTGCCCGTTCTCCTTTCATGAGGTGTAGGTATTTTACGCGTGTATTTTACCTTGTGAATAGCATGCAGGTTGAAGAGAAGTCTCCGCGCCGGAGGTGTTTGCTATTGGCCACCAGTAATATTTGAAATCTTATTAATATCTAAAGCAAATATAACTAGAAAAATTTCCACGCGGACCAGGCAGCAGACGGGACTCGAACCTGCACCCTTCGCTATCCGGGCGAATGCACTGATGCTACCGCGGCCCTGACGGCCGCGTCGAAATTCCTCTAGTTATTCTTAAGCTGCAAGGCAGCGCCATTTCTTCGCATTGTAGGTAACCCACAATGTCAAATGAATACTTTTACAAGTATTAAACATTTGAAAGAAGAAATAGCGTGCGCAATAGAAGGGTGCGGGTTCAAACTCAAACTCATTTATTCAATCTAGGCTGTTACAAGCTCTTGTGAAAGTCAAACGCTACGCCATCGGTACGTAAATCTACGGCGGGAGACCTTGTACTGAAAAGAACCGGCAAGAAACTCAGCAAGGGCTATTTTTTTCTCCCTGTTTTGTTTCATACAGTGTCGTCAATTGAAAGATGACATCAAAAATTGAAAACATGTGTTGATGTCAACTTCCATCACATATTATTAATTAACAAAAGTTAAGGATAGCTAGGTACTATTTTTAAATTTAGAAGTGGCGATTAAACAATTTTCTGCCAAGTTAGCAAAGTAAAACGACTTAGTCTATTATATAAAGCACAAGGTGACTTATCATTTATGAAATCTTTAACAGCATAGTAACCTTTCTTAAAGAGACACGTTTTTATACACATTTTAAACTTATTAAAAGGTAAATTAATTATTTCTTTTGGTATTTTATTATAGTAACATATACCTTGACCCACAAATGAACCAAGAACCTTTTGGAGTCCAAATGGTGGCAATTTGAGTTTATCTTTATTTCTGGTTCGAGTCCCGTCTGCTGCCTGGTCCGCGTGGATTTTTTTCTAGTTATATTTTCTTTAGATTTAAACATCAAGCAGTTACATGCTTTGAAAATGAAAATTATAACTTATTAATAATTATAAATTTTACATGACGCTTTTTTATTTATACATTTTTTATCTGTCTACAACCATCGTAGTCATAGAGTCCGGTCCTAGTCCCAACTCGAATCTGTGATCGTTCTATTTTTTGTTGCCACCCCCATGTAGGTATGAAATCCTCGTGGAAACGACAGCCGGGTGTAGGGTTATGTCCACCCACAGAACTAGATTTAAATAGATAACGCATATGTTTCAACTTGTATGAAAACCGAGCGTGTCATATTTTGAGAACACATTGCAATAGGTGGCGAAAAGCACGGACCCCGGCAACCCAATTCTATCGTTTTTAAAGCTTAATTTGGCACAATTGGACAGTTAAAACAATTTGCAAATGACGTCCAGTGCCGAGAACGGTGACGCGAAGAAGGAAAATAGAGTTAAAAGAGAACGATTGGTCACCCTTTTGATATATTTTTGGTATTCGAAGCAGGTACATATCTATTTTGATCCATGTCTGTGGTTATGTTAGACAGCTTCTGACTAAACCACACCCGTGGGAGGACGCCTCCGGTCATAGAAAAAAATCTTGATTTATTCGTTTCTTCAAGCGCCCCAAGCGACCAACTTCAAAGATTGCATTATATTACCTACAGTACAGATTTATTACGATTAAAATGACTTGGGATCGTTTGATACAAAACAGCATTTTATTGGAACCAAGTTATGATTTCAATGTCGCTTGAATTGCACGTGGATTTTTTTTTACTCGAAACTCACAAACGTTTGTTACTTTGATCCCCACATAAAGAAAAATGATGTGTTTTCTTAGCTGCTTTATTTAAATACGTTTCGTTGTGTTAATGAGAAAACCAACTATGTGCCGATTTTTGCAAAATTAGTAAAAATACATATTTTATTCAAAAAAAAAAGATCAAAAAAGATGACCAGAGAAAACTATGACCTTACCGGTATTCACATTCGAGAACTTTTAGACTGAAGGTCAGCAGCATAACGTTGTATTTTTTATACAAGGCGCCCCACCCCACCTGTGTTAAGTGTAAGTGGAGTCCAGTCGCGAAGATTGATGATGCGGCAGAAGCTGTGCCGCTGCAGCCATTGTCACCTTGCCGGTCTGAACCCAATCTCCTACCCCGCGGAGCCCTGGAACCCTACTTACCAGCAGAAACACAACACCACCGAAAGGTAGTGTGATCTTCTGTTCTTCTTCTGTAAGGTGGAGGTTACTTCCCCAGGTGGGCGCTTCGAAGAGAAATTCGAGCGGAAATTCCGTTATGCCCCATCTCTCTCAAAATCTTCGTAAAGCAATTGTCATTCTGTGACATTAATAGGCTGATGATGATAAATAATGTTATGTGTTTGCTCCAGTTATGGACGCCGCTGAACATCATCCTCTTCAACCTGGTGTGCTCTGACTTCTCGGTGTCGGTCTTGGGCAACCCCTTCACCCTCATCTCAGCGCTGTTCCACCGGTGGGTGTTCGGACACACCATGTGCGTGCTCTACGGGTTCTTCATGGCTTTACTCGGTGAGTCAGGATTGTGCTATCTGGAAAAACTGCCAGTGCGTTCTATTTAGTTTTCAAACGAATTCAAAAAACGTAGGAGGAGATTCTGTTTAATGTATTCGCCGATAAGTTATTTTCTAATATCAAAAAATCTTATGGTCTGTAAGTGTCGCCGCACACGGGCCACCGACCACATCCACAAAACGCCGCCACCGGGATATTTCTTATATTATTTTTCGGGATTTTCCACACCGGCCACTTAATGCGTTGATACAAAACGCCGCCACACGTCACTCGCACGATTCCCCATCCCTCTCTCCCTTACCTTATTCGGCCGCTGTGGCGCGCTTCAGCCACTTTAGTAGCCGCTTCTAGCTTCTCATGGCGGCGTTTGTGGCCCGTGTGTGGCGACACTAAACCGATCTTCCTTGCTATTTATTAGTTTAAAAGTTTATGTATGTATGGCTGGCTAGGTAGTAGAATAATCACCAAATCAGGATTTGATGATGAAGTTCTGAAGAAATCGAATGAAATCTTTCAGTCCATCATCAAAATTACACTTCATCATTAATAATTTAAATATGATTTGTAGTAACTTGTCTAATTACTTTACTTTACTAATACACACCTAGTTAGATAGTGAAGTCGAACTGATGATAAAAAATTAGAGGGCCACCAAAACTACTTCTGAATCGGGAAAATCAATATTCTACTTGCCTGAACCCAATTTCAATGGCAAAATTCACAATACTACTGTGCTATTCTTCGATGTCTTTTTATGTTAAAAGTGTGGCAAACAAGCGTATGGCCCGTCTGTAAGCGGCCACCATAGCTTATAGACGCTTGCGATACCAAAAATATCAATCGCACCGTTGCCTACCTACCCAATCATCTACCCCATGGAGCTCTGGAGCCACTCACCGACACAAACACAATACCACCAAAAGGTAGTGTTATTTTACTGTGATCTTCAGTAAGGTGGCTTTCCCAAACGGGCGCTCCAATTTTTTTTTTCAATTTATTTATTAATTAATTTGCATACAATAAAACATCATTACAGCACAAAAACCTTAATGATTTATCTATGCTGCAGAGTCGCTCCACAGCCAGTCACACCAAACAGCCTGTCTGGTTTTCCAAATAATATTCTTTTAACATTTTAATAAAGGGTCTAGAAGATTTTATTTTATTTTGAATAGCCTCTGGTAGTTCATTTGTGAATAAGGGTAACAAATACATAGAAGTTCTGGTACCATAAATATTGTTGTACTTTGTAGTAATAAATAAATTATTATTTTTTAAGTTCCTAAAATTTAATGGTCTTTGATAATGGATTAACAATTTGTCTCGGTCAGTATGCTCTTTAAGGGTGAAATACTTAATTTTATCATATACGTTGATAACATTACAGTGCTTAAACAATCCTTTATCGTCATCTTTGTACTTTAACTTAATTTTTAATGGTACAATAGTTTTAAGTATTGTTCGTTGTATTTTATATATTTTTTGCAGGTAAGTATGATATAATCTACCATAGCTACTCAAACCGTATCCAATGACAGAATCAGCTAGTGATAAATATATTAATCTTAAAATTCTGTAAGGTAACTTATGTTTCAGGATTGTGAGTTGACTAAGTATAGATCTTAACTTTGCACAGATATGGTCTATATGTGGACCCCAGCTGAGTCTGTGATCGATCACAAGTCCAACATAAGTATGACTTTTAACATTTTCAATATATTCACAAGTGCATTGCGGCACCGGTGCGTGGAGGCAGTTATGGCTATGTGAAACAATTTTAGGAATTGTTGAATTGTTGTTGAAAAATTCAAGCGGTCAATCCTCTATGTCCTACCTGTCTTCACCTAGTCTTGTCTTACCTCCGTCATTTAATATTGAAGCGAAGAAATAAGAATATTAGTTATTGAATAAACGAAAGATTTACTACTATGATTCAATCTAAGAAGTAGCATATTCACCAACTACAGCGACTGAATAGCGTTTTAACGCTACGCCACATGCCACAGAATATAAATCTAACAGTAAAGAAGCTACATACAAACGCTCGAAATGACAAACGCCCACAGATGCACGTCGCTACACGGCCCCTCGGGGGTTCTCGGGGGATAGTTAGACGAGACTAACGCGTTGAGACGAGCGGTCACTCTTTTTTAATTGTATTGCGTGAGCTGTACGCGGACTTTTTAAACATGCCACGTAGGTATTGCGCAGTATAGAACTGCTTAAATTCGATTCCTCCAAAACCGGTGTTTACATTATTTAAACTTCCTAATGATGTTGAAAGGTTAGAATAATTTAATATCACTTTTTCTTCGTTTAAATAAATCCTTTGGTTGTAAAGGTGATATTTGAGGATGTCCTTATTCACCACGACAACACGCCCGCGCATTCTGCGATCAAAACGAAGGACTTCCTGGATTCCACACCAGTCAGTCTTGGGACACCCTCCTTACAGTCCTGATTTTGCTCCGCGTGACTTCTCTTAAATTCCCTTAAATAAAAAATCAGCTCAAAGGAATACAGTTTTTATCGCTGGAAGAAGCGCTAGCAGCGTTTGAAAAGGCCGCGGAAGAGGTGTCTGCGGAGGACTGGAAAAATGTTTTGAAAATTGGTCCAGACGCATGAAACTTTGTATAGAGGCTGGTGGAGAGTTCTTTGAAAAGATATAGTAAAAAATTTTTTTTCATAGAAGTTAGTTTTTTACTTCTCAAAACTTTCTGAGTGTCCCACGTACTGTGGTTAAACGTTCAAGGAATATGTAAATAAGATTTTCTTACTGGATCTACTATTAGGGTTCCGTTCCCTACTACTTCCACTAAGCCAATATTAATAGTGGGCTGTGATGTGACTCAAGTACGATTTTAGCTTTGCAGTTGAAATTATTACAAATCGCGTATTTCTTTTGTCGCTGTAACAACAAATGAAATTAAGAATGAAAATAATTTGTTTGTTACATAGGGACTCTATGTAACAAATGATTATTAGTGTTATTGCTCGGATGAAAATAATTTTATGTAAAAAAGATTTGCAGAATTGCTCGGTTTTTTCTTCACCAGCGTTAATAATCATTTTATATAGACAGATACTGGGATTCAGGATGCCGCATTTGTGCTCTCACTTGGCAGAATATGGCTGAACAGATTTTGTTGTTGGAAAGTGAATTTATACAGAACCACCTGTTCGTGTTTTTTTATATCTCCATTTTGACTGAAATAAATCTACTCTCGATTTGTCACTTACGTTAAAGGTTGCTTATTCCGATGTAATTTGAGATGAATTTTCTTCCCAACATGGCTTTAGATTTGATGATAACATTAAACTCAGATCAGACTTTCATCGCCAGTCAGGAGATTTTACTTGTGAGATTAAAATTTCCAGATAGAAAGAGATATTTGGAATTCTTACAAAGAATTCGTTCAGCATTCATTCAAATATTGTGTCGAGGTTCTATACAATTTTTTTTCCTTTATCGGTGAGGGCACAAAAGTTACTGCTTCCACGTTACATAATTATGTTCCATGTGTTTTTTAATATATGACCTAAATTTGTTTGTAAGTTAAGGTGTGGGTTACCTACAATGCGAAGAGATGGCGCTGCCTTGCAGCCTAAGGCTAGAGAAAATTCGATACGGCCATCATGGCCGCGGTAGCATAATGGTCAGTGCATTCACCCGGATAGTGAAGAGTGCGGGTTCGAGTACCGTCTGCTGCCTGGTGCATGTGGATCTTTTCTAGTAAAATTTTCTTTACGTTTAAATAAATATGAAGTTTGCATTTTCGAAGACGCTTGCTTAAGTATAAAACAAGCTTATTGTTTATAGCTATATATTGCGTGATATATGGTACGCAATAGCTTGTTTCCTTGCTGTGTTTATGCATACAATATTGCTTGTGAATATTATGGTGACTTTCCAACCTATATGATAGATAACACACATAGTTCATGAATATGGTAACGACTAGAATTGCCTGCTATGGATATCAAAGGGTGCTTCCAAGCAGACGTATTCGCATGAAATCAGCGTGTTAGCATCGAAGCATTAAGATGATTAGTTAAAGTTACTTCATCATCCTCGGCCTATAAATGCCTTCGCTGTTAGAGCACAGACCTATTCCTACAGAAACAAAGAAATTTGGTGACTCATTGCTTTGTCGTACTATTCGCAAGTGGAATTCTTTGCCCGCGCATGTGTTCCCTCACAATCTAGATCCTTTAAAGAGACAAAAAGAAGCATTTCTGTAGGCCGGCCTGGTAAGGATGGTTGGTGTGGCAGTTCATAACTGCTGCACTGGCTATCTTCGCATCTTGGACTTTACCACCACTTAACTTAGGTGGGATAGAGTCATTTGTCTACTTAGCTGTAAAAAAGACCACCACACCTGTAGGATAAGAGTGCGAAGACTCGGTCTACATACGACGAGCTATACCAGGTACATATATGTAACTGCCCCCCCCCCCCCAAACTAAATTACTGGTCATAGGATGAGTGACTCAAATTTATTATCTGTAGCCCCTCCCTTTTTAGGAAGGCAAGTTAAGCTGTTTGACTACCAATTCACGCTAGACTAGTGTGGTGAGTTAAATCCGGTTCTCTTTAACCGTTTCTGTTCATGGAAGGTCTGTGCTTTTTTTGAGTGTGTATGCTGTTGATCGCAGATAACCTTTACAGCGTCACCGGGTTTGGGGACGGCGAGATCCTACAGGGACCTTAAGCCTAGAATTGGCGAGTGCATCTTTTTTTTTTTTTAATACGCAGGTAAAAAATCTATTTACAGACGACGGCGCCTTTAAGAGGCACACCGCCAAACGGACCTCACACCTGGCTCCCGCAAGTCTTAGAGGCTTCAGACGGAGAGGAGATTCTCCCTGAGGGGAGATGCCATCCGCCTGGAATACCAGGACACAGGGACCGGATTTAACTCACTACACAAACCTAGCGTGAATTGGTATTCCATCAGCTTAACTTGCCTTCCTAAAAAGGGAGGGGCTACAGATAA